CAGGGACCTCCGTGAAGAGCTCAACTGCGCCGCGGCGATGATGACGGGCAACGCGGGAGTCTCGACGACGACGCCAGCGGGGCAACCTGCGTCATCAGCCAATGCGGGGCTAGTAACGGAGGCCACCGCACCTGCAGGGGCACCTGCTATAGATGCGCTTGTGCCACTGGTAGCAGAGACCGCTAACAACGCAGGGGCACCTGCCACATCAGCACCACCCTCGGTGCCTGTTAACGATACGTGGTTGAGGCGTATGGAGAGGGCCGCTGACAGGAGCGCTCAGTGGCGTCAGTCTCCACGCGCGTACATGCCATATGGGCGAGACATTCGTCCACGCAATCAGCGTTGGACAGAGCCCTGTCAGCGTGCGTAGTGGCAATGGTGCGACATCCGAACGCGACATGCTGCATATTTTGTTTTTGGTAAATACAGATGGTCAAATGGGCATGCGCGCAGATGAGGACACGTCTCTGAACCTGCCCACTACCTCTGCATCACACCCATACACATATGACGAATATCCTACAGCCTGGATCTTTGAATGGAGCCCTCTTGCGGGAGAAGAGGCTCGTGGACATATGAACGTCTTTACACCTCTGTCACGGAACGACTGGGTTTGGAGCAGAGGCGCCGCAAAGGCATGCACGGCGAGACGTTGTCTGAGTTGCTTGGATCACGCACTGAACGCCACGAACTACCCTTTGCAGCTCACAGTGCAACTCTGATAAATGGTATGTTGACGATTATCCTGGATATTGGCAGTAATATCTATATTAGTTGTTTAAAGACGGCACAGACCTTTGAACAGGTATCTCGTTCCCACGGACACGCCATCAAGAGGCTGAACCTGACGAAGAGGCTCTACGTGTCAGGAGTGGGACATGGCGCCGCGATATGTGATAAGTCCCTGCGCTGCAAGATTGCGCGCAAAAAAGGGGAGACCCGGCGGGGGCGCCTGCTGTGCCGAGACTTGACACCTACTCAGCAAATGTAGCTGAGGGTTCTGGGGGGATGCTCCTTGCTATCCTGGGTCTGAGGATCATGTCCAACGCGAGGGCCATCTTGATCCTGGAGCAGGGGCGAGAGAAGATGATCATCTCTGGCGCGGAGATGTACGAGATCCCATTTGACAAGGCGCCAGAGTGCTTGATTTGATGACGACACCTTCTGGACATCTGGCACTCAAGGCCGGCGAGTACGGGACAGCCACTGAGGATGAAGGGTCGATCTCGTTTTTTTTTTTGGGGGGTGAATTAAATATATATGTATAATAATAATAATAAATATTATTATTTAAAAAAATACGGCTAATCCTCAGTGCGAAGATGGTCCATTGCTCGTCAAAGAGGTATTTGGTCCAGAGCCAACCTCGGGGGAACCTGCTGTGAGTGATGCCCATGCACATATGATGTCACAAGATACACAGGGCATCAGCGTCTCCATCAACGAGGAGACGTTCGCTTTCACGATCCAGCCTTTTGTGACTAACACCTTGAAGACCTGGCATCGCAGGAATACGTCCTTCGGGACCGACCCTACCTCGGCCGACAAGGACTTCGCCTTGCGCAATTTGCAGGCCAAGGTATCAGGCCATTTACGTGGAGGGCGCGAAGTGGGCGCCGCCCGATGCACAGGCAGGGGCACCTGCGGAAGGGGATGATGCCGCTGAGAAGTTGATATCTGTACTTCGAGGAGTGGCTCTGCAGCGCAGCATGGCACAGGCATTTAGACGCCCCCATCGCCAAACGAGTGACGGGGGCAGGCGCGTGCCACGGCCACTCGCGCTTGCTCAGACAGGCTGAATATTCAGGTAGTGTCAGCACGCGCTGGGGAACCTTCATTATTTCCCCAGGCGCCGGCTGTGCGCGCCAGGGGCAGTGGCCAGCCCGGCTGCGCGGCTGCCACGAACGGCAGTGGGCCCGGCTGTGTGGCTGCTGCAGAAAAAAGGATTATCGCATTATTATCACTCCCGTGCATTTTTGATTGAAGATATACGGACAGCTTGCGCTGGACTCCGAGCCCCGCGGCTACATGTGTGACCGTTTTACACGTGCAGAGGTCATGACCTCCTCTGTCACACAGTATTCAGGTGCATTACTCTCGGGTGATTACCAAGAGTTGTGGGTGGCAACACCTGCTGATTGGTGTGTGAGACGGCAGGGCCACGCTGCCAGTGCATCCAACATTTGATGTCCAAAGCTCGGGCTCTACGTGTGACTATTGTGCTTGTGGGGCCACCGGGATATGTCCTGAAGCAAGGTCCCATGCGAGAAGCTGTTGAAGATCTTGCTTCACAAGACATGCGTATGTGTTTCTGCCGCTTTGGCCTCAAGTACGACCTCGCTCACACGTTGCCCAGCGGATCATATCTGCAAGTAGCGACTACCTGTGCGCGCATCCCGACCAACCAATGGCGATCAACATGCAACATAGCAGGGGAATCTGCACAACCTACTGGGCATGTCCTAGTTTCGTACGGGCAAGGTGCTCATAAGGCCGAATGGCGCAGCAAGACGCTGGCGATCATGACCGCAAGGTGGATCGATCAACTGGATTTACATACGACGCAGAGAAATCAGACAAGTGCTGTACATCTTAGTATCCACACTCGAGTAGATAAAGGAGCTCGAATCTACGTTCAGTCTCCTGAAAATGTATCCGAGTGGGGCCGTGTTGTTAGACGGGTGACCATGAACCTGGGCGACAACACGATCATCCAAGACATCGAGATCCAGGGCCAGCCTATCGCGTACAACTACAACGCACCCTTACCCAATGGTGTTACCAACATTCGTACCCGACTTTCCTGGGGGCAGCCCGAACCGACTCTCCTCGGAGACGGAAGTTCACGTTCACGCTCAAGACGAGTGGCGATCATCGATGACGATCGTCTCCCTCCCCCTTCGATTGAGCGCGGCCGCGTGCTCCCCCCTAATCCCGAATTTCCGACGCTCAGTTCACCTGGGGCCGAACAACAGACAGCACTACCAACATATGCCATAATTAAGCAACAAGAAGAACAGAAAGCAGACAACACAATGCCATAGCACAATGCCATAACACATACCATGGCATACCACAACACAATGCCATAACAGGGCATCGCGTAGACACCTACCCTATGACTGCGCCCAGCAGATTGCGAGGATGTCTCGAGCGATTCGCTGGTTCCAGCATCCCCAGGGGGGGGGGCCGCCAGAGGAGGTGGGGCAGTCCCCCGTCACCCTCCCAGACGGCCTGTTCCGACGGCCTTTCCCATCACTTGCTGTTTTGGTTCAAACCTTTCCCAGCGGCCGTTCCCGACTCTCCCTTCCCGACGGCCCTTGGTGGCCTGAGCATCAAGGTCACCTTGACCATAGATGCTGAGTCTGTTTGTACCTCCTTGTCAAGCAAAGACTTGAAGAAGCCGACTGAGTGTACCCTTTTACGACACATCAGCTGGATACCACAGATGATGGAGCGTGGGATCGTGCGCAGCATCCAGTGGTGCGACGCCCGCGATATGACCGTTGATGGTCACACCAAGGGGAGCATCGACAGAGAAATTCTCCTACAAGTCATGGGAGGGATACAGTCCTTCAAACATGACCTAAAGAGACATACTCCATATCGGGCCGGCCAGACATCAAGTTCTGACGCCGCCTGATGAGTGCGTCAAGTACAGAACTGTACAAACAAGGCAACTTGCGAGCGGGTCCACCTTCCTTTTGGCTCGCTCTCTCTTCTGTCCTTTTGTACACTAGCTGCTGTCCCTGCTGTATAAGGGGCGACGGGCTGACGCTTCGTCTCTCCCCCCCCACTTTAAAGCGAACTGCGAGCTCAGGGACGTAAGGAGTGGAAGCGAGCGTGCGCCAACGGCCGCGTCGGCTCAAGCGGCCACCCGCCCAAATAGCACTGTGCCTCACTGCGAGGCACACAATCGCTATCGGGACCAAAACGATCTTCCTATTGCTTAAGATGGCACATCCTCCCCTAGTGGGGCTATCGTTACAACGGTACAACAGAGCTGGAGCCTGGCTTCGCCTAAAGCGAAGGTGTTCGCTGGGCCTCCCAGCCCCCTTCAAATTAATGTAGGGACAGGTCTAGGGAGGAACATTGCTGTGGCGGGGAGCGCGACAAGGGCGAATCATTTGGCCTTGCCGTCGTGTCACGCAAACCGATGCCGAAAGCGGTGCCTGGCGGCTTCGCGCGTTGGAGCCTTAGCACATGATGACGCGGCGACTTCGGAAGGGTGCAAGCTGCGTAGGCTCAGTGTTCACAGCTGTCATCCGCTGGATGTTACTGCGCGAAGATTTCAGCGCAGAGATCATATCGTGAGGACATAAAAGGGGACGTCTAGGCCAGAACGCCAAGGTCCCGCCGTTCCGTTTCAGCGCTCAGTGGTCGATGCTATGTTCGGGCGATTGCCGAGCAGTCGGGAAGTGAAGCGATGTGCTGGCGGCTGAGATTAGGTGCTTTCTTTCAGCTCGCCTATCACCATCCCTTGTTTGTCCACGTAGCTTAATTCAGATCCGTCTAAAATCAACCGCGTTGGCTTATTCAGAGCTACATCGTGCAGGTTTGGCTGTGTTGCGAAGATACCGAAGGGGCATAACCTTCATCGCCAACGGCTCCCACGAAGGCGCGGATTTATTCGCGCTTCGCGCTTCGCGGGCCTCATTCCTTCTCCCCCCCCTCCTCGTCCTCCTTTTCTCCCGTTGGGGGGGCGGCGCGAGAGCGGGAAGTTATTCGCGCTTCGCGGAGCGCGACGCGCGAAGTTGGGAGCCCTAGCAACGTGGTGCCGTCATCTACGCATCATTATGACACGCGATCGTTTTCTGCCCAGATACGTATATTGCGACATCTGACAGTGGTTTGTCTTCAGCTCGTCTGCTCAGTGCTACTATGATGCATGGTGTGAAGGGGGATGCAGTTTCTCTTGTCACATTGTTTTTATCTAAGCCTTCAGTATCAATCATTCTTACCTTGGTGACTGTTGTGCTAAGCCAAGCAAGTGCCAGGCTTTGTTGGTGTTTTGCTCACCATTGGCCTCAACTTCAGGTCGCGCGTGCGGCGTCTCTTTTCTGTGGTTCTCTCTAAGCCATCAGTGCAGTGCCATTTCCTCAACCAGTGTTATGTGTAGCTTTTTTTGTATATCCGCAGTGCTTCGCGGCACCACGTCCGGACATGCTGCGGTTTCACGGAGTAGCCGTTGTCATTTATGTTCTCGTTGACCGACGAGGGCCGCATTCAGGCCGTTCTAGGCCCGTTGGGCGCATTGGGGCGCGTTTAGACTTTTCATGGGCCGTTGAAACTGGTTGGTGGTGTCCCATTGGAGTATTGAAACGGCTTGGACGCTGAGGCATGTTCTCCAGAGTTCGTGATCCTTTGCGCTGTGGGTCTGGCTAGTAAGCAGTACACTTGAAGGAAAGGTCAGAAATTACAGTACGACAGGAAACTTCAGTTAAGGGTCGCCATTTTTGTGGGATGCGTATAGCGTGTTCGCGGGATTGTAGGATTCTGTCAGGGGGAGGCGAAGGCGGAGGGTAGGGTGTGAGGAATGTCCAGACCACGTATGGAGGATGGAAATAGGGAAGAGAGAGGGGGAGGATCAGGATGATGAGGCCTCGTGGAGACTTGAGGCAGTCCTCGGCGGATGTGGGGCCTCTTGGAGGCGTGTTTGAGGTTATCGAAGATGCCTGCGGCGAATCACCGCCGCCCCCTGCCCCTTTGGAAGCGCCTATGTGGCCGACTGCTGGGCTAGAGCTTGGCCAAGCCGTCGGGCCAGTTGTTCCCCGAGTCGGTTTGGAAAGCCTTCGGGGATCACGTTGGGGAGCAATAGGAGGAGGATCAGGAGAGGGATGATGATGATTAGGAGGAGGATAAAGATGAGGATGAGGATGATGGGGAAGGAGGAGGAGTTTGAGGAGGAGACTTCTTGGGAACCGTCTTGCAAGGCCTCTGCAGAGCTTCCTGGGAGCCTTTTAGAGGCATCTTGGGAGCCTCCCTGGGCCTCTTGGGGGCTTCTTGGAGGCCTTTGGGGGCTTCTTGGGGGCTTCTTGGGGGCCTCTTTGGCCGTCTTAGGGCGTTCCCGGCCCGTCTGACACCGTCGGAAGCAGTTTCGGGGGCCCCTCTGAACTGACTTGGGGCTCTCTTGGGGCGCTTAAGGGTCGTCTTGGAGAGTATCTTGGACGTCTTGGAGGTCGCCTCCTTGGGGGCCTGTTGGGCCGTCATGCGGCCATCTTGGAGGCCTCTTGGGCGATCTTGGGGCGACCTTGGGGGCCTCTTGGGCCGCCTTCGGCCGTTGGAAGGCCGACAGGGCGCAAATGCCAAAATCTTGCGAAAACCCAAGGACAATTCATGATTTTGGCCTCTTCGGGCCTTCCTGTAGGACCTCTTGGAGGCCTCTTGGGCCGTCTGGGAGGCCTCTTGGGGGCCTCTTTTGGGCCGTCTTGGGTCATCTTGGAGCCATCTTGGGCCGTCTTGGGTGCATCTTGGGCCGTCTTGGAGGCATCTTCGGGCCATCTCAGCCGTCTTGGAGGCCATCTTGGCCGTCTCGGAGGCCTCTTGGGGCCCTCTCGGGGCCGTCTTGGGGGCCTCTTGGGCCGTCATGAGGCCATGTTGGAGGCCTCGGGGGTGATCTTGGGGCGATCTTTGGGGCCTCTTGGGCCGTCTTAATTAAGCCGTCGGAATGCAGAGAAAAAACCAAATGCCCAAATCCTTCAAAAATCATAGGAGCATCAATGATTTTGATCTCTTCGGGTCCTCCTGTAGGACCTCTTGGAGGCCTCTCGGACCGTCTTGGAGGCTTCTTGGGGGCCTCTTTTGGGCCGTCTTGGGCAATCTTGAGGCCATCTGATGCCGTTTTTGGTGCATCTTGGGCCGTCTTGGAGGCATATTGGGGCCATCTCAGCCGTCTTGGAGGCCATCTTGGCCGTCTTGGAGGCCTCTTGGGGTCCTCTTGGGGCCGTCTTGGGGGCCTCTTGGGCCGTCATGAGGCCATGTTGGAGGCCTCGTGGGTGATCTTGGAGCGATCTTAGGGGCCTTGGGCGGTCTGAATTGAGTCGTCGGAATGCAGAAAAGAGCAAATGCCCAAATCCTTCAAAAACCATAATGAGATCAATGATTTTGGCCTCTTCGGGCCCTCCTGGAGGACCTCTTGGAGGCCTCTTGGGCCGTCTTGGGCCGCCTGGGAGGCTTCTTGGGCGTACCTGAAGATATTTTGGGCTCTCTTGGGCCGTCTTGGAAGCCATCTTCGACCATCGTATGCGATCTTGATGGCCATCTCCGGCCATCTGAGTCGTCTCTGAGGCTATCTTGGGCCATCTTGGAGCGGGACAGGCGTTGACATGTGCAGGTTCCGGTCCTTTCCGGACCTGGGCGGGCTGGGCCGAAACGCCAGGGGGAGTTCTTTCGGAAAAGAACCAGAAACAAGACCGAAAGGGTTCAGCACGGCAGGCACACCTGTGATGAATCAACAGGGGGCGGCGGATGACGGAAAGAACGAAGTACGAGCGAGAGACGTTTCGCAGAGGGCGAAGCCCTTATAGGTGTGATTCCAGAAGGCTCGCTGGCCTTCTCACCCATTCCCTGCTCTCCCGTTGCTGCTCTCTCTGTTTATATGTATCCCCGCCGCCGTTTATTCTCGAATAGGGCCCTTGGCCTTAGAGCTACGATTCCGCTCTGCGAGCGTTTCCAAAACGATAAATCCGCGATCTTTCCGTATCGCAGTGGTAGCTTGGAACGAGGCTTGCTATGCTGGCCCGCGGGGCCGTCCCTATAGCAACGACGGCGTCCGCGACCCGTCGATACATATTGGAATCGAAGACCAGCGGCTTCGTGGTGATCACCACCCAGCTGCTGCGCAGCACGCCCAGCGTCGGCGACGCCGGCGACTACTTCTCCTACGCCAGCGTCAGCGACGCCAGCATCTACGCCTATCCTGCCAACTCCAACGCCAGCGTCAGCGACGCCAGCACCTACGCCTACAAAGCCTACTTCTCCAACGCCAGCGTCAGCGACGCCGTCGGCTACAGTTTCAACGCCTATTTCCCCGACGCCAGCGTCAGCGACGCCAGCATCTACGCCTACCCTGCCAACTCCAACGCCAGCGTCAGCGACGCCAGCATCCACGCTTTCGACGCCTACTTCTCCTACGCCAGTGTCAGCGAGGCTAGCGACTACGCCTTCAACGCCTACTTCTCCTGCGCCAGTGTCAGCGACGCTAGCGACTACGCTTTCAACGCCAGCTACTTCTCCTACTCCAGTGTCAGCGACGCTAGCTACTTTTCCTACGACGGTGTCAGCGACGCCAGCTACTCCTTCTACGCCAGTGTCAGCGACGCGGCCTACTACTTCATCACTGAAAAGATGACAGACAACTAAGCCTACAGCGTCATTCCCACCTGGAAGGGCGGCCCATCAAAGTGGAGAGATTACAGGCAGGAAGTCAAACTCTGGAAGCTCAGCGAGAACCTCGGCGTGGCACACAGTCTCGCATCGGAGCTCGTGCTGAAGCTCAGCGGGACAGCCAGGGGTGCTGCGCTCAACGTGACGGAGGCGCAGCTGCATCCTGCAGCCGCGGCGGACATCGAAGACCCCGACGACGAGAAGCGCAGCGGGATCCAGGTCGGCATTGAGAATGCGCTACAGCACCTGGAGGCGAGCTTGGGTCAGCGGAAGCCCGTGCAGAAGGGCGAGACCCTCGAGAAGTTTTTCGAGTCGACTCAACATCGCCGACGCAGAGCTGAAGGCATGACGGATTTGATCATCCGTTTCGAGGCTGGACTGCAGCAGCTACGCGAGAACGAGGCGGGCCTCAACGCGCTGGACGACGTGGCGGGATGGTTCCCGCTGCGCAAGGCCGAGCTCGCGGCATAATGCCGCGAGCGTGTCGTGGGCAACTTGCCCGACGAGCACTGCGGCTACCAGCGTGTCAGCGGGCTGCTGGTCAGGATGTTCCTGGACGTCCATGCGTCGAAGCGCCGCGCCCCCCCGCCGAGGTCATGGAACAACCAGTCGCGCTCACAAGGCGGCTGGCGCAGCAACGTTTCCTCCGGCCGCGGGGGCCGCTCTGCCAACGTCGTCGATGAGCCGGGCGACGAGAACGACGAAGGGCCAGAGGGGGGCGATGAGGACGAGGCCGACGTCCAGGACATCTTTCGCCAGGGGCCCGAGGCTTTCTGCGCCGAGCTCGAGTCCTCCAACGTGCATACTGTACTCCCGCCGCCGGCTGGGTATCCTCTCTGGCGTCCACCCTACCCAGCCAGATACCCATCCAGCGGCCGCCGGATGGGTATCCCGCTGTGCCGGCTGGGTACCCGACCCATCCAGCAGCCGCCGGATGGGTATCCCGCCCTGCCAGCTGGTACCCCTGCCCATCCAGCGGCCGCCGGATGGGTATCCCGCCGTGCCGGCTGGGTACCCCTACCCAGCCAGCGCCCGATGGGTATCCCGCCGGATGGGTATCTGAGCGCCCGGCCCCCCGTGCTGCCGCCGGATGGGTATCCCGCCGTGCTGGCTGGGTACCTCTACCCAGCCAACGCCGGATGGGTATGCCGGTGGGTGCGTATCTGAGCGCCCCCCCCCTCAGGGCTGCCGCCGGATGGGTATCTGCCGGGAGCCGGCTGGGTACCCCGTACCCAGCCAGCGGCCGCCGGATGGGTATTTGCCGGGAGCCGGCTGGGTACCCATAACCCATCCAGCGGCCGCCGGATGGGTATCAGCTGGGAGCCGGCTGGGAACCCCTACCCATCCAGCGCCACATGAGTACGCCGCCGGATGGGTATCTGAGCGCCCCACCCTCACGGTTGCTGCCGGATGGGTATATGCCGGGCTCCGGTTGGGTATCCCTACCCATCCAGCGGCCGCCGGATGGGTATCTGCCGGGGGCCGGCTGGGTACCCCTTTGCCGGGAGCCGGTTGGGTACCCTTACTACCCACCAAGCGGCTGCCGGAGAGGTATCTGCCGGGAGCCGGCTGGGTACCCCTATAGGATCGGTATATGCCGGGAGTTGGTTGGGTACCCCTACCCATGCAGCGGCCGCCGGATGGGTATTTGC